GAATTTCGTTCTTTTTTAATTCAAGTGTTTTGTCAGTCAATTATTCTAACCTGCTTTGCAGATCCAATTGAGATAACAATTTAGTTCGCGCTCAAGCTGCTGCTGTCTTCGCAATATCAGGAAGGACTGCCGGTTCTCCACCTTTTCTTTCTCCTTCGCAAACTCTCTATAAGCGTGATACAGATTATATAGCAGCTTATTCAGGAGCATGAAAACTAAATTTACCAGAGGATTTCAGGCATTCCACCGTTAGTATTCTAGCGAATATATCTTGTTTAATAAATCAACAATATTTATTCATTTAGGAAAAATGTCATTGAGAGCATTAAAAAAAATTTTTTTTGTTTATTCTTTCGAATTCTTCAAACTAGCTTACGCATGAGCTTAACACGTATCATACACGAGATTATAATGGATTCATTAATCACTACTGTTGCTTATACTTTAATCTCTCTTAATCAAAATTTAAAATATCTAATGTTAATTGTACTAATATCTAATGTAAATATGTCTAAAAATTCATTTCTATAAATATATAATTTGCATGGTATTCTCATCGTGTTTAGCACTAAAAAATTCCTATTTTTTTTCACATTAAAAGGCATATATAATCTTATATGTACAATATTAACAAGAATCATATAATTAGAGATATTAAATCAACTGTAATTTACGAATGAAGAAATGCTAAAAAAATTTTTTTAATAAAAAAAAAAGATGAATAATATTTAAGGTTATTAACTAATTTTACTACAAACTAGTATATTTAATTTAAATGTTTGAAGGTGGCTCAATAATACAAATATAAATAATAGGGAGCATACAGCCACAACGACAGATGTTAAAACGAAAATCATATATTTAATATTATTATATAAAAACGTAGACGTTTCGGTTAAGATTTGACCATCATCAAGTACATCAAGATGACAAATAAAGAAGACATAAAGAATTACAAAAAAAATTTAATTAATTACGCAATAATTAATGCATAATCACTGTCATCATTGCAATTACTCTTATGTAGGATAGACAAAGAAATTAAAGACGCGTTTAAAAGAATACATATGGTAAACGAATTAAAAAAAACCTTCAAATTTTTTGTTATCTCTCGTCACAAACTTGATCACGATCATACGATTGATTGGAGAAATGCTTTCTTGACTCAGAACAATTTTATTATAAAAGGATGGTCTCCGAGATGATACATATTAAACGACAAGAAAATGGTTTAAATAAACAGAGTGACACAAAACGTTTTCCTGAAATCTATCTACCAATCATTGAAAAAAATCCCAATAGAACTACCTTTTCCACTATCTTTTTCTCTCCTTTCCTTTCACATTATATAAAATACTGTCGAGCTAGGATCTTCTGACAAAAATTTTTCTTATCATTTTTTCAGATTGTTTTTGTTTTTTAAATTGTGTTATTTACTCGGAGTTACATTTGCGAGAATTTGTGTCAAAAAATACGTGGTAAGCGAGTGTTAATGTGAATTTAGATTAATTTTTATGAATAATTAATATATTGTCTAAAATTTAAATTATTAAAAAGCGTCTTTCTTTTCTTTTAATTTTTAAATAGAATCTGGAAATTCCGTATTCTCACACGAAGTCATTTTTTGCTTCCTTTAAAAAGGAATCATAAACGGAACAGATTAATCGCCAAAGGTATTAAAAAATTTTTTTTGATTTCGTTCTCTGGACCTTATTTTACTCGATTAACTATAGCGATTGATAAGCGATTGAAACATTCTTTTACTATCTTATTGACTTGCGATTGTTATTTTTAATTTTACGTATTTCTTCTATTCGTCATCTTGATACTGTATCACTATCTTTTTGACTAGCGATTTTTACGTAATTAATTAAATTTTTTTTTTATTTGTCATCTTGTACTGATGGTCAAATCTTGACCGAAACGTCTACGTTTTTATATAATAATGTTAAGTATATAATTTTCGTTTTAACATCTGTCGTTGTGGCTGTATGCTCTCTATTATTTATATTTGTAATATATTTAATTTATTTTATACTTCTAATCTCACGGCAATGCTGAATAAACTAAAAGAATACGATTTATTGCACACTAATGTCAGGCAACGTCTGTTAATTGAAAACCTGCTTGAGATCCATTTTAAGTAGGAACTGAACGCAGTGGTAAAGAGTTGTTTGCTGCGTCTCTTCGCTTTCCGATAAGCTGTCCGCCGTTCGACGCGCGCTCTTTCATTAGAAAACTCCCTGACGAGGAAAGAAAATCATTCTGAAATAATCGGATTTCGCGATCTTGCCGAATGGGAGACGCGAATATCGCTCCAAAAAAAATTGTCACTGGGCGGAAAGACTGCGGAATGTTGTCAGGAGAAACATATACTCACCCGCTCAAGACACCAAGAACTAAGTTCAGCATGAAGAATGATCCAAGAATGATCAATGGTATAAAGTAAATCCAGTTATACGCGCTGCCAATAGCGTCATTTGTCTGCAAATTCGATCGGAATATGTAGTAATGTCGCGTATATACATACGTACCGATTACATAAGACCGAAGGTATTAATTAACAGCAAAAGTTATATATGCAACACTGGCATTGTAATCTCTCTCTATATCAAACACGATGTGATAAATGTGATCGTCCGAGTTTGAGAACTTTATTCATCGAATTTATTTATCATTATTCGATAATATTTTATTTCCTTTCATAAAGAAAAGTTTTATCCCATATGAAGGGAAGATCTAATCTAAAAAAAACATCATAGATTAAAAATTCGTCGATCACATTTATGCAAGACAACATCTTTAGGAAACTTCAGTATCGCTGGTGGTAATTCGTGGAAAAAGGACGAGAGAAACATGCTATTCTTTATAATTCTTATAATATGAGAGAAACTGATTTGAATTATTCGCTATACTTATCTACTCGTTATTTGCTATCTTGAAGAAGAATTTACGGGTTTTCAAATATTTAACACATTAACTGCGATCAGTTAAAATTTTTTAAAACGTTTATAAAAAATAATCATATAATAAACAAATCAATATAAAATTTTGAATAACCATAAAAGATAATAAAATGTAAAATAAAAAGTCTATTGTTTAACACATTATCCATGGGAATGTAATCTCTCATTTAATCATATGATATAATATTTTATTATTATTATGCTTGTGATATTATGAGAAAATTCTCTTGTGATATATACAATAAAATATTCACAAAGCAGACAACGTGTTAAATTAAGATATGTCGAAATTTATAGTTTAAAAACTATACTAGATCTGTTTTTATAAAAAATCTTCAAGTATATATATATGTATATATTTTCGAAGCATGGCATTTTCTTCTGATTGACGTTTTACCGCGGGCTACTCTATGTTATAAAAAAATCGATGAAGTAATCGAAATTTTTCCGAGATTTCAGTAAATAAATATGATTATGTTACAGACGATGGAATTATGTTGAAGGGTTTCGAAATAATCTATTATTTACAATGAGATTATAAACAACTTTTTATTGTGTCTGACTCTTTCGTGATAGATAAATTTTGTTATTTTCTTTAAAATTATGTAAAAGTATAATAATTTTTAATCTTTTAATGCTATAATATGAATTAAATATGTATAATATGAATTAAAAGGAAAAGAATTATTAGTAGAATATTTTTTTGTTGATCATGAAAGAGTCAATAGATCGGAGGATTTCAAATATAACAATAAAATGGATCCTCCGTGATCTATTGACTGAACATTAACTCTTTCGTAATCAACAAAAAAATATTTTATTAATAATTCTTTTCCTTTTAACTCATATTATACATATTTAATTTATCTTAATTATAGATTAATTTATATATTAAAAGATTAAAAATTACTTTTACATAATTTTAAGAAAAATAACAAAATTTATCTATCACGAAAGAGTTAGACATAATAAAAAGTACAATTAACATCGAATATTGAAACATCGAAAAAGATGGCTGGAACTGACAATGTTA